TAGGAATTACACTGGATGAGGAGCAATGAGTCTTCCCCTCTGCCCATGCCCATTTCTCACCACTGAGAAATGGTCCCTCAAGTCCCCTCAGAGAATGCTGTAGAAGGCAAAGGAAACCAAGACACACGGCATCTTTTCCCCTGATGCCCTTGCAGGCTCGAGACATGGACAATTTTAAGCAAGTTCACTTGTGGCACTCTCCTGGCTGTGTGTGAAAAGAGGCCAAAGACAGCATCAAGATGATTTTAAAGAGTGATTTTAACTACATAGCTGAGTTGGTGAGGAAAAATAGACTGGTGCCTCTTCACACTGGGACCCTTTCTAACAGATGAACTCTAGGACTGTAAGAATCAGCCCAAGCAAAATGTTCTCTGAACCCTGCAGAATATATTCAAGGATAGGTAAAGCAGAATAAGTATCATTTCCCACTTTAATTTTTCACTTTTCTTGTGGTTTTTCAGATGTGACATCATTTGGACAGCCATGTTTTAGGCAGGTGAATCTCCAAACGTTTTGTACAAAGCCAACTGCACTAGCAGCAGGGAAGACTGAGAGTCAAGAAATACCTATGAGCACAGACCTGAGCATAGTCAGAAATAGTTTCTAAAATTCATACATGTATGAACACTTGTAAGTCTTTTCACTGCAGAAGGCAGCAGTAAGTTGCCATCCCTGTCAAGTATCAGTGAATTTATTCAGCATACTTAAGAACTTGACAGATTTTTAAATTATATTGCCAAGTGTGCGTTTAAATTATTTCCACCAGTAACAGCAACCCAATGTCAGGATTAATAGGTAAACAGAAGTGCAGCTTCAATTTTTTCTTGCAGTCATTCTTTATCTATTTCTATAGCTTTATCTGCACACTAGTGCCTAAAAAGAACCCTGAGTCTTATTAGGTCATCCCTGAAATGCATACATTAAAGTAAACCCTTAGAGCTCTGTTAAACAGATGTATTGAGTGGTGCACAGGGAGAAGGGCTTGAACAGGACATAGTTTCTGTTCTCCCTTTATACCAGGTTTTCCCATGAGATCAGTGCTCCACTGCAGCCATTTTCTTGTCATCTGAAACTGGGAGATACCTAATATGTGAGAATATTTGGGTCAGAAACTCCCCCAGGCTATTCAGAGCTTCCTCTGTACTTGACTTTCCTCACAGCAGCATCTGATCATTCTGTGCTCCCTCTACACCCACAGAGTTTTAACGAGGACAGCACCATCTCTCACATTTGAGCTACAATATCTGTCTTCCAAAAGACTGACATGTTTGAAGAAACATCTGAGTTCTAAATGAGGATAACTCAGGGAACTAAAGGCTGGTCAGCCTGGGAAGGATGTGGAGCAAATCCTCCTGGAAGAAGGCATTTCCAAACATATGAAGAAGGTGCAGTCAATATGGATGTATGAAGGGGAAATCACATCTGATGAACCTGAGAGCTTTCTGTGCTGAGAGGACTGGGTGGGAGATTGTTGACCTTGACTTTAGTAAGGTTTTCTGAAACTGTCTCCCATAAAATCTTCATAGACAAAACAATGAAATATGGGCTAGAAAAGCAGATAGTGAATTAGACTGAGAACTGTGTGGGCTCCTGTCATAAAATACTGTATTAGGAGAAAAAATGTCCAGTCATTAATAGTGTAGCTAGGGGCTGATAATGCAGCCACTACTATTAACAACTTAATCAGTGACCTGGATGATGGGACAGAGTGTTCCTTCTGCAGATTCACAGATGACATAATACTGGGAGGAGTAGCTGACACACCAGAAGGTTATGCTCACATTCAGAGGTGCTTGGATAGGCTGGTGAAATGGGAAAAAGGAATTTCACTAAATTCAACAAAGGGAAGTGGGGAGGAACAGAACACACTGCGGACCACCTGTTTTGGAAGCAGTTTGACAGAAAGGTACCTGGAGGTCCTGGTGAACTCTAAGCTGAACACAAGCTAATAAGGTGCCTTTGTGGCCAAAAGGGCCAACAGCCCCTCAGGATGTGTCAGGAGTGCAGCCAGCAGGCTGAGGGAAATGGTCCTTGCCCTCTGCTCAGCACTGGTGAGTCACACCTGCAGTGCTGTGCTCCAGTTCTGAGCTGCCCAGCACAAGAGACACGTGGACATGCTGGAGATGGTCCAGAGAAGGGTCACAAAAATGATGAAGGGACTGGAAGACCTTTCATTTGAGGAGAGGCTGAGAGAACTGTGATTGTTTAGACTGGAGAAGAGAAGGCTCAGGGGGATCCTTAGCAGCATTTATAAATACCTTTTGGGAAGATGGATCCAGACTCTTCTTAGTGATGTCCAGTGAAAGTAAAAGAAGAAAGGAACTGAAATACAGGAAATTCCATTTAAACATTTTAAAAAGTTTTTTACCATAACAGTGACTGTACACTGGAACAGGTTGCCCAGAGAGGTTGTGGAGTCCTCCACCCTCAGAGATACTTTGACTGGACACTGTCCTTAGCAACCTGCTCTAGATGATCCATCTTGGAGAACTAGATGATCCCTAGAGGTCCCTTCCAACCTCAGGCATGCTGTGGTTCTATGACAATCCAGTCATCAAGTCACTGTCTTTCTGCCAGTTACAGGTGATGGCTCATAGACTGAAGCCAGAGAATGGAGAAACAGAAGGAAGCATTAGAGCAGGGATTCCCCATTTGCTTTCAGTGAGTATGCTACTGACACCAAGGGATGATCACCAGCTTTTGGGACACCAGAATGAGGTCACAGATGGCTACAACAAAGCCTATGACTTCAGTCATGGTAGTTCAGCATTCAGTGAAATTTTTACCTATCTTACAGGCTCAGCTCATATTTAAAGATAAGGAAGATTTACTCACCTACACACACAGACACACACACACACCCCCCACTTAATCACAGTTTTAATCAAACCCAGAGAAGCACATGCATGAGCTACAGTAAACATCTGTCCTTGCTAATGAGGCCTGCAGTGTTTTCACTAGTTAAGTTCTTGGTCAACTTCTTATTAGTGTGCCAGCCATCCGTCCCTCCATATTTGTTGCACCTAAGGAAAACAGGTTTCTACTTCCCTTTAGGTACCAAGTCCCTCTGAGAGTCAATAGCTGCTTTTGTGACAGCAAGTGGAAAAATGTATCACTGCACAGCTGTAGTGGTAACTGAAGGACTCAGACATCAAAGAAAGAACAACTAAATCCCAGTCAGCTAAAGAAGTCCAGTGTTGGTCTGTATGTACAAAGCTAGGCCACAGAGTTAATAGAGGGTATTTCAGAACACAGGAACAAAAACAATGCAGTTTGCTGGAGAACAAAGGCTGCCTAATATATTAGCAGTAATCACCCCCAATCCCATTACTTTACCTTTTTGCCTGCTCTTTAAATATCCCTCTGCAGTGATAAGAAGTCTTTGTGCTGCATCATATCCAACTCCCCCAGTCATTTCACACAGGGGTTTATGTGCTGTGGCCAAGAAGGCCTCTCCAGCCTTCTTTAGCCACACTAAATATGTCAGTGAAGTGTCCCTGCTGTTGTTTACAGCTGATTCTTATCAGCTGGCTCTTACCATGCTCATTGCAGATCTTGCACTGACCAACCCCCAAAGTGTACAGACCACAGCAAATTCAGACACAGACCCTTCCAACTCTGCCAATCCTGCCTTATGCAATTTCTACATTCAACATATTGGCTTTCTACAGCAAACACCTCTACGGAGGGACCCTGCAACTGGAATGCAGTCTCTAAGAGAAGCATGTGCTGCTTCTGTTCCATGCTCAGCAGGACAGCCCTTGTGCCTACTGTCAGCATTTCTAACCTTCCTGTAAGTGCTCATACACCTTAACAGGGAACACCTTGCCTGGTGATTTGCAAAGATTTGCTGTGATTCCTTTTACATAGATTCTTGTCTCATTCATGGTTTTCTTCTTGTATGTGTTGGGGATCCAGAGAAGAGAAGATTCCAGGCAAGACCTGAACAGAAGGATGTTCTTTTAACATGCTCCAATCCAGTGAACACTTCCTTGGAGAATAAGCTCAAGAGGGAAGCAGAAATGAAATTATCATCTTGCATACAGGAACAGGCAGACTGCACAAATGCCTGTCATAGTAGGGTATCACTGTGTACATGACCCAAAACTTGCCTGCTCTTTGCTTTGCTTTGCTTATGGATCCCATGTGCATGAGAGATCTTCATCAACATATAAATACAAAAGGCTCTTAGGGGAAAAATTTGATTGCCTCTTGTACTGAACACTCTGGGACAGCCTTCTTCTTCAAAAAGAAGATTAGGTATGACAGGAACTCTGTGCCTAGTGTATCATATTTTTCCAGCTAATCTAATAAATCACCTCCCACTAAAAACTGAACTGCTTTATAGTATCAGAAGACCAGAGGGAAAAAAGCAAAACTGAAAGATAAAAAGCTCTCTACAACTATATGGAAAAAACACAATAGGTAAAAAACATTTCTGTGAGTGAATGCATGATAATAGCAATGCCTCTCACTGAAGTAAGGTTGATGAGATGTATGTGCTGGCTACTCTTGAGCTTTTCATTAGGTATTTAAAAGGAAGATTAATTTTAGGGAGTTATTTTATGATTTGCATTGCTATGGGGCTGTGCAGTGCTGATGTGTGATTAGATTAGAGGTCATTCTCTTCCAATACATTCCTATTGCTGCTGAGAAACTATTTGGAGATTTGCTAGCAACACCTCCATACAGTTAAGCAGTTACTAACAAAACTCTGTGGGAGAGCATAAGAGGAGTGACTAGAGATACCCAAATCACAACTGTGCTCTCTCCTCTTGTGCCTGTACCAAAATGGCTGAAAGATCTTCATAACAGTGTGTCCTCAGAAGGACATCACTGGCTTTTGGGAGCACTTCTAAGGTGTTCATAACATTTGCCAGCACTGTCAGAAGAGTTTTACAAGAGCATCCATGCCTGGAATCAAAGACTTCTCCAGCACAGTTGAGGTTTCCTAAGATGATGCTATGATAGGCAACAAGGTACAGACCCAGGGATCTTACCTGTCTCTGAGGACCAGTAGGTTCAGATTCTCGTCTCCTTTGTCGGAGAGCTGGTGCTGAATGTAAGGGGGAGTGGGCTGGACTTCCTGTCTGCTGTTCATGTCTACTGTCAGACACTGTTTGAGAAGGTCCTTCATGTCTATGGGAACTGTCCTCCTCAGTCACAGGCAGCATACCCCGACTTCGCCCATCATGAGTCTTCGGCCTCACTGCAGCATCTGCCCCCAGGCGCCTTCTCTCCTCCCCATCTTCAATAGGCCTTAGTTCCTCGGGCTCCTCATCCGTGGTTCCAGAGGTGCTTGGCTCAGCACCAGGGTGGAAGTCCTTCAGCTCTGTCTCCTTATCAATGATAACCCACTCCTTGCTGTCAAAGTCCTCCTCCTCCGCGAGCGGCACCGAGCGGAAGGCGTTGCTGAGGGCCTCGTGTTCCACGGACGCGGACACGTCCATCCTGCCGCTCGCCTGCCGGTCAGCCTGGCCAGTATCGATGGACAGCATCTGGGCTGGCTGCGAGGAGCACACGAGCCGTGACGGAGAGCCAGGGATGTCCATTCGGGACCTAGGGACACAACAAGAAGCCATTCAAAACACATCAGGTTTGTGGTTAATGACAGGGCCCATAAGAGAAAGCCTGTGTAGGCCCTTCTCACTCAGTTCTTGGTACACTTCAGAAAGACAGGCTTAAACAAAAATTCTTCTTGGCATGAAGAAGTGCTTCAGTGTGACAGCCAATTCAGCATCTCTTTCCCTTGTAGACAGTATGATAACCATTTTCCCCCAACAACATCTTTCCCCTTTGTTAAGTTCTACCAGCTTGTGAAAAAAAACCTCAAACCATGTTCTGATCAATGTTTCTTATTTGGCCTGCATCTGCTGCTTGCTTTGCACAAAGCCAGAGCATCTGCTGCCCAGATTTTAGGACAATGGCAGTGTGTTTTCAAAAAGGATCATCCAGAAGCCTCACAGAGTCTTCTGGGGAAAGCTTCCATGTGTGAGACATCAAAATTTTTGACAAAGAAAGGGGAAGTAGAGAAGGAGGTGAACCGAAAGTCAATGTAGATAAAGTTGCAGCATTGGTTGCTGATCTAATGATTAGCTTGGTCTCAAAAGTCAATTCTCAAGACTACGCTAAAAGCAGTAGGAGGCTACAGAGGGTGAACAAACCTTCTTTCATGTGGATCTGCTTTTCCATCAGCTGTGGAGAGCCGCTCTGACTCGGGGCTGTTGACGCGGCGGTAGCGGAGCGAGCGCACTTGTGCGGTCGGGGACTCCGGAGGCACTCGGACAGGGGAACTGGGGCACACCCCGTTTCTCTGCTCCTCTTCCACCATGCACTGAGTCTGGAGAGGGTAAACACAAAGAACTTCAAGATCTGACCAAAGACATTGATTTCCATCCTTCACTGTTGCTTTGCAGTTTCTCCTAGGATACACTTTCAGCTGCATTTTCACAATCTACACAAGTAATGTCTGAAGGGAGGCAGGGTCCCTCTACCCTGGCAATCAGCTGGTATTAAAATAAGGTATGGATGTTTAAATATTTAAATATCTTTACAAGGTGGCATTTCAATCACCCTGAGTGTTGATCCAAAGGAGTTCTCATAGGTTAACCTATTGCATGCACAAACCCTAAGTGCTTATCCAAGATGTCTAAGAGCCTTGTTTGTCAACATTAACTTAAGCAGGGGCCATGCATTACATTGCCATATACAAACTTTAACATCTGGTCTGACTACGGCATCTCCTAATTACCAGGGTGGTTTGGGTTTTTTGTTTGTGTTTTTTTTTTGGTTTGTTTGTTTTAATCATGGTCCTTTAAACAAAGTCTTCCACGATATCCATTCAACCACAATGTCTGTAAGAACTTTCCACAGAGCCAAGGTCATGCAGGATGCTGAACACACACATGGACACTCTATCATTCCACATTTCCTCTTTCATATTGCCTTATTAAATTTGATGTTTTTAAAGTTAGCAGTACACAAAGGAGCAAAAGTAGGTGACCAATACAGCTGCCCTCTGCCTTCCACAGTTCTGATTTTCCTTGGAAGAGAGGGGCAAAAGCACAGAGGCAGAATGGTCCAAGGGCTACAGCAGCAGCACAGGATTTGCATTCAACACTGCTGTGTTGCCAGCCATGCAGCATCAGCTGCTACACAATGCCTGTGTGTGGGGATCTGCCTGGAGAATGCTTACCCTTCCCTGCCCTACTTTCCCTTGTCCTCCATTAATGCCAGAGGGTCTGAACACAAGCAGCATCTCAGTAAAACGCTGATGATCCAGACAGTTGCGTTTGTGCATGCAATGTGTACATGGCAAGTCAGTCAGTGCCCATAAATTAGCAGACCTAAACCACCCAAGCTGGAGTTGGAATGCATAACTAAAGAGCTTTTGCAGCTAAGGAGAGTGGAGGAGAACTTTCAAGCATTAGAGCAAAAGCAGAATAGATGATAATGATTTAATCTGTAATCCAGTCATGGTCAGGAGAAGGTTTGTGACAAACAAAGGTCAAATGTGTTTGTGAAAGGAGCAAAGTGCTGATGTAACTGTTGGGTAGCAGAGAACTACCCAACAGAGCAGAGAACTGGGGGATGGTGTGGGAGAACAGTGACAGTAATTCCTTAACACAGAAATGGGAGATGTGGGACAGAATGAGATCTGAATTGTCTACACAGAGAAGTAAGGATCATCTTAGACAGTTATTAGGGACAAAAAACATGGCAAGCTCCACTCATCTCCTAAATACAAAGAGCAAGACAGGGAGAGCCAGTTAATTCTAGTGCTACAGGACTGGAAGATGAAGGATGTGATGCTGTGAATAGCAGGAGGGTGTTTAAACACACCAGTGCCCTTGTGGTTCTGATGCCTCAGATTACAAGCAGAGGCAGAGCTGTGCCCTTAGGTATCAAATTGGAAGCATCCTTCTTTTCTCCACATAGTGTCTGTTACTTAAATAAAAACCAATCCTCTCTCAGAGAACAGTCAGACTGAAGATAATCTGGCAAAGCAAAAGGACAGGCGAGAGTCAAACTAAAGATAACAACCCTCAAAGAAAGGACTTCAGCTTTGGAGAGCTTGCTGCCCTGGGCTTTGCTGCACAGACTGCTGTGTAGCTACAGAAACTGTCAGAGCTGAAGTGCTCACTGCCATGCTGAGAAACTCCCAAAGCTCCTTTGGCAGCAGCCTGACAACAAATAGCACAGTGCCTGGCACGAGTCACCTGGCTGTGCTGTGACTCTCCTGTGAGAAACCTCTCCTGCCTTTAGCTGCTGTTGTGACAGGACTTGTGAACGAGGTACCTAAGACATGACACACAACTAGCACACAGAAAGGACTCCCCTGTGAAAAGTCTGACTGAAGAGCATCAAAGCACCTGGTAGTAGAAACGCAAAGAAAAACATAAAAAAGTTGCTAGGATTTTTCTGTAATATTCTTCTATTTTTTTTTTTTAAATATATGTTGTGAGAACAGAACTATCCCTCTCTATCAGGCTTTTCTTATTTCATGTACCTTCAAATGAAAACTTCTGGGAATGCAGAGTTGCCAGTGAGAGATGAAGAAGTAATTTGAACTTCATTCAGAATTTCTCAGTGTTGGTGAATGCCCCTGCTAATGTTCCATACAGAAAACACATTGATCTGAGTTATTTGCACTGGAGAATTTAAAGTAAATTAGATTATTTCTTGTCCATGCATAATGTTTTCTAATAAGACTAAGGATAGTGGAGATACTTATATTGCTGAAATAAGGACTAACTTTGTACTAGTAGAGACTGAAGTGAATTCTGGTCAGCCCCAGAAGACTAAGAGACTTAACATGCCAGTCTACAAATGTCCATGAAAAACAAGTTTGTGATGTGAATCTGATAGGTCCTGACAACATTTTACGTCTGATGAATGTTTCTCTGCTAATAGATTCTGTATGTATCTGATGACCTGCCACTAATACTAATTTACTTTCAATATGTAAATTAACTTTATTAATAAACTAACTGTCAGATTCTTATACTTGACATTTATCATGGAATCAGCCTTCACTGGGGATTCCTCCAAGAAATTAGGTAACATTTACAAGAAAGGACTGAGAAACACCTTAGAGATTATGAGGAAAATAAATTGAAGTATACATTTATGTAAGCTAAAAAAGCTTAATATGATCTTGGAATGCAGAAATATAAGAATATTAAGGAATGGTTTCTCTGACTCTTCATAGCGGGGAAACCATTGTTAGATGCTCCCTATAGATTTTCCCACCCTTAAAAAGGAAAGTTTAAAAAAAAGGAAGAAAAAAATGAGCGATGATTCAAGGTGCAGAAAAATACACCTTTTGAAGACATCTCTGACTACATTTATTTACCCAAGAGCTTGGGACACAATAAAATTTTGGTTTTTAATTTCCATGCCTGGGATATTTCTGATATTGTATCAGCTATACAAGGACTAGAATTTCCTTGCTTGAAGTACCAAAATCCTAGATAATGATATGATGGTAAAAAAGATTTACCTTAGCATTACTGGCCCCCAAAATCTCACTTCCATAAAGATCTAAATTAATCCAAATGGCTTTTACTCTGTGAAAAAATTCCTTGTAATTCCCCATGCCACAGGAGAATTCTTCAATGCTTTTTGGGATTACTACACGGCCTGCACATGTAGTGGCATCCACATCAGTGAATCTGAGTGGCTTCTAGCAGTCTATGAAACCATTGCCCTACATCCAACAGTCACAGGAGACAAGGAAATATTCTTTACTTTGCTGATGCTGATCCTGAGTTTGTTGCGATTCACATCTGTCTCTTCCCAAACTTCACCCTCATTGAAAGCCGTGTTTGGAGCCTGACCAAGGCCTTCCACTGGCCGACCTGACAGGATGGGAGGAGCATTCTCTTGATCACTCAAGTGTTCACCCTGTAGGACATCCTCAGTGTTCTCACGGAGCAGGTCCCCGGGTACTGGAGTGACATTAACCACCCTATAAAAGAGACAAAAAGAAAGGTAAAATTATCAGTACATAAAGAAGGCAGCTTATTACACCACCCCACAGGAATTGCTCAGCAGATTTTAAGCTATTACTTAGCTGAAAAACAGGCAGCCCCAGATGTGACATCCCGAATCAGAACAGGAGGATTCCATGTAATGAAAATTACAAAGACAGTGGCGTGTTTCAGTGAAAGCATCTTGGGACCCTTGATACACAAGCTGAAAACTTCTTCACAAGTGCCCATCACACCATATTGAGCTGTGAAGAAACCTCTCCTTTTGCATCAGCAAATGAGGCTTACTAGGCCCTACAGTTTTTATCTTCCATAACATTACTAGGGATTATTGTTATCCCCTAATGTCAGCCCCCCAAAAGCACCAAGACAGACCAGTGAACCAGGCCTTATCAAACCTTTTCTGTTTGGACTCATCTGTACCTCTGAGCATCAGTCTCTGTGTACCTTTGCAGCAGCACATGAAATACACTTGAACAGGCTTGAGGAGCTGTGTTGGAATTATGAGCAGTGCATGCACTCAGCTGCACTCAGCTCACTATCCACCACCACAAACATAAATTAATATAAAAAAAGATCAAGTGGTGCCTTCCATGCTGTTACAACTTACCAGAATCATAATGGCCTTGAAATCTTTAAAAAAATAACTGAGCTTGTTGCCCACTGTCTGACTGGTACAACTACAACACTCACCCAAACATGGCTGCTGTTTGCCTGGTGTTCTGCTGTGGTGGAGTTGAGGTGCTAGTGGACAACAAGATATCTGTACCAGCCTTCTCCCAGTCAAAGGCTTCATTTTCAGTGATGCCCCTTTCTTTCATGCTGTTCTCGAAAACCGACATGATTAGCTGGAATAGATTTACAAGAACAATTTCTGGTAAGTAATTTCTGGTAAGTAAGGTGCGAGTGGTTCTCACCAAAATTCTGAAGTATGTGCATGAGGACCAAGCGCATCTTATAATCTCCAGTTTGCCTATAAAAAGTACTAAAAATGAAAGGAAAACTTATGAAATTGCAACAATTGTTTCTCAGGTTAGTTTTGGCTTCATAAGTAACATTTCTTCACACCTACAAAAGAAATGCATGCAGCATTTTGACATTGATTTAATGAAATCTCGCAGTTAGCTTGTTACTCCAACTCTAAATCCATAACTTCAATTCAGCTTTCCTCTAGATTAGACAGTACATTATGCAGAACAGTACATTTGATATGCAGAGTTCAAGGGCTGCCAGAAGACATAAACAGAACAGGAAAAGGCAGTCCTAAGATGCAGACTCATTGCAGTGTCTGGCTCAAATATGGCTTAGTCAGGAGCCCTATGTTGTGTTTAATGTGCACGATGTGGCCTGACACACTTGGCTGCATAAGAAAATAAAACCCTAAAAAGGATGATACAATTTTCTTTATAAGATGGCAGGTACAAATGCTCATGGCTGAAGTGCTCTATGCTTGCTCCTTTTCTAAGAACTGGTATCCTCTAGGAGAGAAAGAAACTACTGTCAATAGTTCTCCATGCACCAATGCATTAGCAGAGAAATCTGATGTTCTGCTGTCAAAAGGAAACTGGATGCTGTAGGCTAACAGAGTTGTGAGCTCCTACATTTCTAATAAAATTATTTAGCTAAATAATGCAGAACTGACAGGATTCAGCCTGTCACTTTCCCTCTATAGAGAGAGACAATGTGATGGCAAAAACATTCAGCTAATGGTGTAGAATCAACACTAAGTTATGAATAAAAGTTAGCACGAGCAAACATCCTATTTGCAACTATATTCCAGTTCTGTTTATCAGCATGATCAGAAGGACAGGAAAGCCTGCCATTTCCTGTCCTACCTTCCACCAAACTGCAGAAAAATGCCTATTTGCAGCTTTCAGATGAGCCAACTTTTTCCTCCCTTCTGTGACCCAGAACCCTAGAATCAGGTGCACACTCCTGTGGTAATGCTACATTTGATTAACAGAATTTCCAGAGCTGGTTGTCAGTCAGACCAAGGCACAGGAAATTCTTAGGATTGTATTTGTTTTCTGACTGCTACTTTGGAAATGATTACCGTCGAGTATCTTTTAGAAATTAATATCCTCAAAAACTCAAATGCCTTGCAAGAGCTCCACACATTTGTAGACAGATGCCTCTATAAAAGCCATACTGGCTTCTGTTCATTAGATCATCCTCACCCATCTGTCCACTAATGCCAGTCTTACCACAGCTTTTGATTCTTTGTGATGGACATGTCAGTATCAGGGAGTGGTATCTTGTGAATCTATTTAAAAACTGGTACTGCTTCTGCCACCTTCCATTCCTTTGACACTGAAGCAGTCTGAAGTAAGAAACCACATGATAAAATTAGATGTTCACTGCCTTATTCTTAGCATTCCTTTAAGGACTCACTCAGTTGAAACAACTTTTGTTACTTTCTGCTATAACTCATTCTGTAACTCTTGCACTTGACTTTGCAGGCCATTAGGGATTTTACAGCCCTTTACTGTACTCCCTGCAGGATCTTTTTCCATGGCTGAAGGATACAGGTATCTTCACCTGCCATTATTCTACAGCTATTTAATGGACTTACAGAGTCTTCTCAGCTTTCTCTGAAACCTTTATACTTCTGATGAAAGGTCAAAGCTTTACAAGGAGAGAAGTGGAGTGGAAAACTGCACAGAACAGTCCCAGCAACAGCCACTGCTCCTGGAAAGCCATGCAAAAAGTCACTGGCTCCTGTCTAGGGATCCTCTGCCTACAGAGAGAATATTAAGAATCAGAAGAGTTTCCATAGTCACTGCAAGCCTCCCATGTTGAATTTCCTTCTGCTGGACAAAATAATGTGCAATTCCAACTCTGAGTATCAAAACCACTAGTGGGATAAGGAAGAGGGTCCAGTATGTTTCTCTATTAAAGATGTTACTGTCCATGAGGACATAAAGCTTAATTGCACATTATGTAGTAGCATGTCATGTTTTGGGCTGATAGCCCAGAGAATGAGAGAGAAGCAGCCAATGGGGCACAAATTATCCACTAAGCTGTCATGATACATCTTGTCTAATGCCTTCTCCTGGCCAAGGCTCAGGAAAGGAATCAGAATCAATCCTGAAAGACCACATATAAAAGGTACCAAAACAGTTATGGATTGTCCAGGAGCTCAAGCCTTGAATTCTTTGGGGTTTATCTAGGAAGATGGAATCTTTCAGCAGAAACACTGGGCATAGCAAATTGCTCTTGATCAAGTTTTTTATCTGCACTGTAATCTACAACACAGTATTTAAGAATAAATGTCAGGCACACCTCTTTATTGGCAGGGGTCCCCTTTTGATAAGGGAATGCTCTTGATTTGTGTTTGCAAGTCCTGCAAGAATTTCTAGGGGGAAAACACTAGGACTATGATGGAAGATATCTAGTAACTTGCTGCCCTGTTTTCAACTGGAATAGAGTTCATTTTATTCCCATAGCTGGTGCAGTGCTGTATTTTTCATTTATGATGAGAACAGTGTTGATAAAACACCGATGTTTAGGCTGTTGCTCAGTTGTGCTTACCCTCATTCAAGGACTTTTCAGTGTCCCATGCTATGCTGGTGGAGAACTGCACAAGGAGCTGAGAGGGAGGACAGCTGGGACAGCTGTGACCCATCTGGCCAAAGGGATATTCCATACCATAGAATGTCATGCCCAGTATATAAACTGAGGAAGTTGGATGGAAGGGACCAATTGCTGCCTGGGGACTGCTTGGGCATCAGGCAATTGTATTTTGTATCACTTGATTTTCTTTTATTTTTATCTTTTTCCTTTTTCTTAATTACAATTATGATTATTATATTCTACTTGTTTCAATTATTGCAAAGTCCTTGTCTGAACCTGTGGTTTGTTTTTTTTTTTTTTTTGGTTTTTTTTTTTTCTGATTCTCCTCCCCATTACACTGTGCAGGGGTACAGTGAGTGAGCAGCTGCCTGGTACACAGCTGCCAGCTGGAGCTAAACCACCATACTTGGTCAGCATGAGAGAACTCAAATCAGCACTGGTTGTTCACAGGGAGTCTCACCCAATTTCTCTGACAATATCTGGTACTGACTGAATCTAAAGGAAGATGTCCATATAGGAAACTCACCTTTGCACACCTGCTCAGGATGTGTATGAGACAGCCATTCTCTCATACAACAACAGCTGATGTGATCATTTTTCCTTGAGTGAAATGCAATTCACAATGCCCTAGCTGAGGGAATAGGATGGATTCCCAGGCAAAGGCACTTGCCTTTGCACTTTAAAGTCCTATAATCTTCCAGGAGCAAAGGTCACTATTACTTTTCTGATACTCATTGCAAAAAGATCTTTGGGGACAGAAGGCAGCCACCTCCCCAGCTACACCTGAAACTACTCTTCTACCAGCTGGACTGTATGCAAGTGTAGTACAATATATTTTCTACTACATCCTATCTGCACTTTTCTAGGGAAGAGGCATGCCCCTTGCTGTCAAATGAGTCAGAAAACCCCCAAAATGCTGCTCTAACACCCACATCCTCCTTCTGTGAAAGTGCTAAAAGTTTGATTTTAACCATGAACCAATACTGACAGCGATCCATTAAAGGGACAGACCTGACACCTGAGACATGAGCCCAAGAAGTATAAAAACACAGGATATAAGATCCATCACCTGACAGCTCAAGTCTATTTTATTCTACCATCATTTTCCTTTCCCCTGCTTAGGCAAACTTGTGTCATCTATCCATCAGAGAGCAGGGCTCTCTGGTCACACTTAGTGTCCTGTTACAGCCTGGTATGTGTCTCTTGGAGACATCATCTCAGGGCCCACAGCTGTAATAAAATTGCCACTCAGCATGATGTGCTTAGGAGAACCTAAAACTTCAAATTCAATTCAGATTTTTAAATAAGCCATGACTTTATATATTTGTAAACACACTTTCCCAATTTCCTTTATTTCTCTGTGGGTCTGATACTGGTGACAAATTCAAATGGCCTTTGGTATAGTTTTTAATATTTCAGAGTAATACAGACATATAAATCAACATAAAGACATCTCTGAAGCTGAGATGCTTGGAGAATTTGCTGCCTGGAACAGGTCTCCAAGTCAAGCTAGAAGAGTCAGTGTTAGGTGGCAAGCTGCAGATGCCAGACTTTTTTGGGGAGTTGCCTTTTGGAGGCTTCTTGCCCAAGCTGCACCTGCAAGAAACTGAAGGCAAAAGGGCAATTCACAGCTTCAGTCAAATGCCCTGCTGTGAAAGAGCTGTTTGTGATTAGTAGTGCCTGAATTCTGTCTGGAAACATCTCCCTCCATTTCAGTCTCAAGGATGGCTTTTTGGTACCATTAGGACACAATTATTTTAAGCTGGAATGGAATATAGGAGCATGCAGGTTCAAAAGCAGCTTTGGAAATCTCTAATCCAACCATCTGTTCAAAGCAGAGCTAATTAAAAGGCAGATCATATTTGTCATTCAGCCAGTCTTTGGAAATCCCCAAGGATGGAAATTCCGCAGCTTTTCTAAGTACCTGCTTCATATATAAGTATCTACACTCTGAATTTTCCACTCCCTGCTGGATTTAGTCACAATTTCCCTTACTGCCTCTATTCTCCCCACAACTGTCCTTGAGGCAGTGAAAGAGCAATCAGATCTCCTCTTTGACTTCTCTACTCCAGCACAAACAAATCCAGCTCCCTCTGCATCTCATCAGTTCACTCCCATCCCTCTGTAGCTCTCCCTCTTAGTGGCAAATGTTATTTTTCCACTGCACTATCTAGAAAGTATTTACCTTCTCCTTTTAATTTTTAAAAAATGTGTGGTTGCTATGTTACAACATGTACATGGCTAAACCACAAAGGCACTGTTGGAGAGAGTTTGTTGGAACACCCTCCTACCACTTTCCCACTCATCTGATGCACTATCAACAGGACCAGGCACTCAGATAAGACTGCACAGATCTGCTTATAAAATGTTGTTTCCATCATTGTCTTTAATGTACAGAGAAAACCACTGTGATAAAAAAAGCAACACAGAATCAAGTTACTTCTGTTGTGTTAGTCTGACTTACTCGCATATAGGCTGGCAGCAAACACTGAATGGGAAGAAAAACCCTATGTTAGATGAATATTAAAGAAAGACATAATAATGGTCAAGGCCTACATAAGTCTGCAAGAAATCAAAGGGGTTGGTGTACACCACTGAGCTGTCAGTGTAGGCTCTTAGACCTTGGCATGATGTGCCAAAATTCTGCCACATTTGGAGGACCTCAAAATTTCCGTGTCTTAATTAAAGCCAAAAGTACCGTGTTGTTTGGGAGGAACTATCTGGTGTGGAGTTCAGGATTATTTTGGACAGGGTGGTGGAAGGAGATGAAGGAACTTTTGAGGTTTTGAAGAACTGTTCAGTCCAGCCTTTTTCCTGGTTCTAGGAAAGGTATTCCTCAGCTTTGAGCACACAAGACAGAGAGTACTTTAGACTTGATTAACACAAGAGATCCAATAATCAGGATGCCTTGTCAATAACAGAGCTTTGAAGATTGAATTAGGACTGGCTGTCAGGAAAGAAGATTGAATCAACTTCTACAAGCAAGAGATGTTGCAAAATGTACAAGTTTGTTCTGTGATGATTAACCCAATCATTGTAGTAAAAAATTACTAGCCTTCCTAGAATAGTATATAAACACATGTAGTCCACAACAAATTTGGATTCTGATCACCAATCAGTCTTCCCCATCTCTCTCCCTCATCAGTACTAAGACAGATATAAACACATTTATAGAAATGTTAAAAAATCTAAATGCCAATCTAGAGTGCCATGCATCACACTGGGTAACAAAGATAGGCTCCCACCTGATAGTCTGGCTTGGTGAAGTAGTCTAGGCTTGCAATGTGATCCAGGAAGAGGTGGAACTCTGAAGGCATGTGTTTTAGCAGCATTCGGTGTTCATACTTTTCTTTTATCATGCCAACCTGCTCCTGGTAAAAACAATACAAACAAAAAAAAATTTCAGAGCCAAGAATCTCTTCCATTACTTCACATTTATAAATACTTATCATTCCTGGAACACAGACTCTTCCTAGACCCAGCACAGTGTCTACAGACTTCTCCTGTTTGCTGTTCAAGGCACAAGGAGGTTGAGCACTGCAGGCAGAGGTCAAAGGGGAATCTTGAGTCAGAAGCTTGCTGCACAGGTGACCTACTTCTTTCAAGAGATTTTATTCCTTAGCACAAAGTATTTCCAAGACAACATGAACATTTAGCTTTTTTATGTTTAACTTACTAATTTCAAATCCCATTTGGCTTGTTTGGCACAGCAAGGTGTTACCCTCCTGTCTTTCTAAAGGCTCATTTTATTTGTCAAAAGGACAGCTCAGTCTTTGCACTTGTATTGTTTACTTTGCAAGAAAAAAGTAAAAAACACTTGATCAAATATGATTAGCAATATGCATTAAAAAAGTCTGATTACTCAAAATAAGAGAAGCCCACCCTGTGTATCAGAACACACAAAAGCAGGTTAGCATCTTGCAGCAAGACCTGATGAAAAGAAGATTCTGGCTTGACTCCAGAAAAAAAGCTGCACTGAGCTGCAGGAGGAATAATAAAGAGTCATAATAATTAAAATGTAGCACCCTCTCTTAAGCACAGACACCAGTTTTCCTACCTTATCTTTGATCTTTCTCCACGGAAGCTGACCAACAGCAAACTCCACCAGCATGTAAAAGAGGGACCACAGATCGTCGTGTCTGCCCATCTCCTGGAGAAAAGAGAGACCAAGACTGAGGAGCAAAGTTCCCCACAGATGAGGGGTCCAGGTGTATTCTCCTGATGAGCTACCTCATTTTAGATGGTGGGAAGAGAAGTCATACTTCCCAGTTTTTGGTTAAAAAAGCCAAATAAAAGGCTAAAGATACATATTTACTAATGGGACATGCAATAGCCTAGATTTAACTGTAACTGTAAATACAACACATTTTTAATTATTATTTTTAAGCTTAAATATAATTCAAATCTGCTCAAGAGTTTTTGCAAAAGACTCACCATCATGCACCACAACAATTTACAGATTTATAACATTTCTACATACAAATCTCCTCCTGGGTTAGTGAATGGGAAATGGAAACATGGGGATAAAGGATGAAATTATCAAAGCACACGAACTCATTTTTGGTGCTCAACTTCCAATGTCTAGGATATGATTTCTCAAAATAGCCTGCATTATACAGCAATTTTTGTGTCTAAATATACATTCAGCTGATGCCAGCTACAGCTGGGCCTACTCAGCTCTTGCAAAAATTATACCTCAGGTTTCTCTGTGTTTCTCAAGAAAGAGAAAGAATTCATGATGGCATTCAGCTGCCCTCCCCACATCACACTTTCCACCTTTTGTAGACAATAACTTACTCCTTACCTAAAAAAACTGACATTTTTTAATGTCACAGATAATCCTACAATCTCATTCCAAGCAATGCCAGAAACCTGGAGGTAATGCAGGAGGGCTGACAGTTTCCATCTGGCAGGCACTCAGCAGCAGAAATGCAGAACTTAGAACCACAGAAGATGCTGAGTTGGAAATGACCCATCAGAACCATTCAGTCCAACTCCTAGCCCTGTGCAGGACACCCCAAAAATCACACCCTCTGCCTGAGAGTATTGTGCAAACTTACTGTTTATTGTCTGCAAAGGAGCACTACTGAAACAGGAGAGAGGAGTTTTTTGAGAACAATCTTAGATGAACCCTCTAGAAGCATTTATAATGAAACAGGCCAGACACTATGTAAATAATAGTTTTTTTATAGAATATAGAATAGAAAATATAGAATATAGAATAGAAAAGAAAATATTCAGGGAAAAAAACCCCTAGCTTTCACCAGGTGGTTCTTCTCCTCATGACACAATGTTAACACTAAAATTACAGATCAAGAATGGATTTGGGGACGTGGCAATTCTGGCCAAGTTCTGCTAGAAACTAGCAGCAAGCAGTCTGGAACTTAACCAGATTTTCCCTTCAGTGTGGTTTACTTTTGCCCTTAAAAAGTGTCTGGTAATGCAATAATTATAATTTTAAAGTCTGCCAACTATAGAGGACCAATAAGTGAAGCATAATTTTGATTTTACAGTCAACAGCCTTAACTACTTAATGGAAATCTGATATACTAACTTCCACAGGTAACAAACCAGAACTCCTTTGCTCCTGAAAACAGGTTTCTGAGGGGGAATTATCTTACTGGTAACTCCTTACAACTCCAAAATACTCACCCTGTTTTTGTGTGCATTCACAGAGGCATAGCGGACGGTTCCTCGGAAACCAGCAACGTTGCGAGGCTGGAGGGAGGCAAGAGAAACATCTCAGAAACAGAGTGCATGACTGAATCCCCTGTGCAGCCAGCTCCTGAGATCTTCTTGTCTAAAATGCCATTTTGTATGCACCCAAGGAATAGCAGGCTCTTAAGGCCTTCTTGTGGTCTAGCAGCTACACAGAGAGCATTCTCTGATTGTTATATCTAGGAAAGCTCACTCTACAGAGAAGGCAAGGTGGTTAGAGTGCTATGTTAGAACAGTAATAGTCCAGGCATAGAGATAAGAACATTATCATGGATCAGATTTTCCTTTTTAAACTCCAGGTCAAGGGAAAAGCCAGTAAAGAAGTGCAAAACTGAGTCATGAGTAACATGAGGTAAGCAGAGCCCAAAGATAACCTGGTCAGGATGGAAATGGGGATCACCTACTCTGACAGATGACCACAAATGTTTGCTGACACTGCTGTAAGCATCTTCTGTAAGACTTCAACAAACCACGAACCTCTGACTTTCAGAGTTCTTGCTTTCTTCCAGATTCTTCCCAGTATATCCTATCTTTATTTTTCTCTTTCCCTGATTCTCTTTTTCATGTCCTTGGGAATTAAAGGCTTGATATAGTGGGTGTGGAAAGGCAGTCCTCCTGTGACTTATTTGTCCCATCTGGAAGCTGTCTCTGCTTTGGGGGCTGAGCAACTGTTCCAACTCTTTCTACTGCTGCCTCCACAAGAACATTGGACCATGTGAGTTCACTTAATGCAGATGTCATTCTGAAAAAAACTTGCATTTAAATAATGACATCTACCAGATTATCTTAGTTGAACTAGAAGCACCAGAGTTAATGAGACTTAACAGCAGTGGTTTCAAAATTCTTGTGGTAAACCAGGTTCAGGCCCAGACTTCTTCCATCACAAGGCTAAGCTTGGGCAAAGAACTAAACATATTCAAAATGAAGTTCCTACTCCAGCAGAAAATCAAGCATATTAATAACAAGTTAATTGAGTAACTTGTCCCACAGAGGTCAGTGCATTCAGGTTTGTTCTTTTAGCTGTACCTGTACTTCCAGAACTAGGCCTAAAACTTTGTACTTTTATTCTAGGGCACCCTTCTGTCACTAAATATGTACAATTCAGTTGCTTCCTTTATGGTACAGGGAAGTTGCTCTGAATTTCCATATTCTCAGAAAGAATACAATTTTAAATATTTTTAAAGAAGTTCACCAACACCTTGTAATATACCCACACCTGTACTGTGTGCAATGCAGCTCTTAATTTATAATGACTCTTTGCAAAAAAAAAGCTGTAAGTCTATCTTACAGCTCTTTTATGCCAATCAAATACTCCCCAAAGAGACCCCATATGCATATCCCATGCACTTAATCTTGCACTACACCAGCCTGAGCTGTAAGTTACTTATTTAGCAGCAGGTAATAGCAGAGATTATTATATTTGTGATCCTGTACCTCATTGCTCTCAGAACTATGCAATTCAGGATTCTCACTGACAAACAACTGCAAAATATTTTTCAGAATTCCACAGAATTCACTGATATGAGTTCTTGAAAAGCAGTATACTGGCCACTGGAATATAGTTATCACCATAAATTTGCTCTACACATTCAAAAGAAAGAAGATACTCCTCTTTTCCATTATGAATGGAAGATAGTGTGTTTGGATACTTTTCATGAGCCATAAGGGTATATTGTGAACATTTCTAACATGTAACCTACAATGTTTTCAGAACAAAAATTACTCAATTTTTGCAGTCCATGCAAGTACTGAACCAAGTACCAAGTGTGCTGGCTTCAGTATGTCAGCAACATCTCTAAAAATTGTTTTAGATCAATACTTACTATTTCTGGCAGACAGGCTATCTGTGCAGCCTTTATTTAGATCTGCTCTGAAACCAGTGCCAGGCAGTTTGTAAGCACTGGTAGCAAACCCCTCCTCTCCCAGAAACAAAACAAAGCCCAGCTTTTGGTGCAAGCCTTTACCCTTGCATCTGTCCCACAGGCAACATGACCTGCTGCTCCCCAGCAGTCCCACACCTGAACCCTGAGGGTTTTTCCTCCACTCCTCTCTCACGTGAGACCTCAGGGAAGGGAGAGTACTGCAAATGAGCAAAACTTTGCAGTTGCTTTAACAGGACCTTTAGGGTCCTTTCACCAAAACAGGCAGATGCTAACTGTGTGACAGTGTATTTTGCTCATAAAGGTTGCACCTCTTTTAACCATATCTGTCTGTCCTGCAGTCACAAGGAATTGTCACTGCAATCAATATTTCCCAGGCTGTAGAAATACCTTGTTTTCCATTCAAACAACAACTCTTCCCTGAGCATTTGTTGTAGCACATGCTGCAGACCCAACTATTATTGACTTTTCTTCTGAATTTATAAACATCAATTTTCCAGCTTTACACACTTCATTTCTTCCGGTTAATAAACTTCATCCCACCACTGCACTGGCCAGCAGTGGGAAAGAGCCTGGATACAGCATCCTTTTAGTCCAGACCAGTCCACAGTTGAGATGGAATTGAAATTGCAACACTTAGGAGCTTCAGACTATGAAGTCATATATAATCCAAGTGATTTGAATCCCCAAAATTATGAATATATAATAAGCTAGAAAGTTGAAATACAATTTTAAACCATAGGTGATTCTTTTTTACACATCAGTGTTACTATAAAAAATGTTATAAAGCATATCTCTTCTTTCACTGAGATTGTGTGTACCACAAAGCTAAAGTACTTTACTACACAGTGCTGCATTGTGTAAGAAACTTGGTTTAAAACGAGTTTCAGCTTGGGACAATGTGTTAGATCACCACCACAGAGCAAAACCTATACTCTGTGTTCCTTTCACTGCATTAGCAGTGTAGACCACCTCACAGACAGAGACAGAAGTAGGTAACAAAATCCTGTATGACGTGGATGCGTTTTCCAAGCTGTGCTTTTATACACCCATCATTCTCCAGGTTAAACACTCAGGATCATTTGTATTTCAAGTGCCAACAGTGTCCCCCTCACGATTCACATGAAGTCTGTCTTTCCTGCACAATCCACTTTTATTTGAGGAGTGCTCATATTTTCTCATTAATGTGAATCCCTGCTCCTCACACCATATTCATTCATAGAGACTAAAAATATTCTTTTGCTGGACTGGATATTTTGAATGCCCTGGTTTCTAGCTGCCTTCCTAAAAACTTGTATTTGGATGCCAGTACATTCCTCCTGCTGTTTCTTGTGATTGTGGTGCTCTCATGACCATTGGTTCCTCCCCAGCTTTCTGTAAGCCTGTGCACACATCTCATGAGATGCACAACCTTTGCCCCTGGCAGGCCTGCTGTCATCCAGGGTATTAACCCATTTCTCCTGGAATCAGGAAAAGGACTTTCAGCAGTAAGAACATGAAAAAAAGGAGTTTAGCACAGTTTGAAGAGAAGGTGGTAATGAGAGAGGAGATGCCACAGATCATGGAAAGCATTTGGAGATATATCTTGGATAGAAATTACTTGGTGGTAAGAAGAAAAAGTGAAAGAAAGCTTTAACTGAACTAAAAGAAAGTATCCCTGTGACCTCTAGGAACCTTCTGCTTCTTCAGACAGGTTCTTGAAGGAGATGCCTCTCCACCTCTTCTGGTGGGGAGAAAATCCACACCTTTTATATGCATTTTGATTTTTTAATTTAAACAGCAGCATTTTGTAGAATCATTAATGAGTGCATTATATTTTATGTCCACAGGGAGTCAGAAATGACTAGAGGAAGCTGGAGACAGAAAAGTAAGATGAGAAAATTCCCCTCCCCTTGTCTCTGAAACCACAGAATTGACAAGATCAATCTGGCACCACCCAAATATCTGCCAGCCCCTCAGAGAGAATCCCAAGTGTTCTAGGCCTTTGCATCACGTTTAGGTAGCTGTCACAATCCTGCTGAAAAACAAACAGATCATGAGGGAAAAAAGAAAACCAGGTGTAATTTGGACTTCCATATATAACAAAAGCACAAACCAAAATGAAAACCCAGAAGCATGGTGATGGCTCACTCACAACTCATAGCAGAGATGGTTACGAGCAGCGGATGGGAAGCCAACGCATCAAACACAGCCTCAAAAGAAGAGCCCAAAAGAACTGTAAAACAGAGAGAAACCCAAAGAAAAACATGATAAAAAAAACCAACAAAATGAGAAAAAAATTAAACAGAAATGAATTAAAAAACATTCAATATTGTATCCCAACAGAAACCTGTGTCTTGTTTAGCTGTTGCCATCTCCCATCACCCTTCCCAGGGCTGTTGGCCCATCCTGTGCTGAGTTTCATTTAGACACGAAACACACCAAGCCTTTCGTGAGCCTGTGTGATTTGTGAGTGCTCTGTAAGTGGTGAGAGGGGGCCCTCTAGGGAAAACCTTCCCCTGCCTGCATATCACATCTAATAACTGGAAAATAAAAGCTGAGAGCAGCCATGCAGACAGCCTTACTACAGGTCACTTGTATGCTTCTACTGTGCTTTTCCTTCCTACAATTATCTGATGTGTGCTCCTCCCTTCCTCCCCTAACCAAACTCTAATAGCCCACAAGGGGATTTGCTCCCTCATCTCTTGCCCTTTTTATCCAGAGCAAGTTCTAACATTAGCACATAAGTTTCTAAAAATCAACAGTAATGCCCCCTTTCCTATTTGAATTGTTATGGGTTCTCAGCTAAGATATTTGTTTTCTTACTGCAACCACTACCTTGCTTTCTCACAATCAATCTCCATACAAACAGTGGCTTTCCAACTTTACAGGTTTCACAGCTGCCAACTTCAGGCATGTTCCCTTTCCCTGGTGACTGCTGCCGTGCTCCACTGTCCGTGGGGGGATGCAGAATGGTGGTTTGGGAGAGAGCAGGATGAAACTCAGTGCTGCTTTTAGGTCACATGAGCTGTCATTGTATCTGTGAATGGCACAGCAGAGAAATCTGAGGGACATCCTCATCAGAGGCGAAAATTAATATTATATTATATAACCTTAAAACTGAATTCAGTGACCTGAGGAAAGACCTTGACTGAGAGATACTCATTCCAACAGAAATCAAGTAATCAAAAGGAATCCACACAATGAAGTTTCTTATTTGAGTCTCACTTTTCCCCTTTCCTAAAAGTGTGCAAATCCTAAGAATTTGATAAATTTTGCATGAAATTTAGTTTTGAGAAAGCTATTTAAGTCTTCTTCTATTCTTTCCAAATCAAAAGACATAAAGCGGTTGAGTTAAAATGCCATCGTTGCTACTTTACTTTAGGAGAGTTCAAAATTTCCCATGAATTTAACATCATTAAAGACCAAGGTATTTTGTCTTTTTAAATAGCATGTATCACATGATTACAGCACTTGAACTTGTGCTGATGATGAGAATGTCTTTCTCACAGTAAAAACAAAGAACAAGTATTTTTTTTAGTCAAAAGCTTATTTCAGTTGTAATCCTATTATTCAGTTATCATGATTTTTAACAAGAGAGCTTTGGCCTCAGAGCTGCACTTGTTTCTTACATGCAAGGTCCCATAAGGCAAAAAGCAGCACAGAATATCCCCACAGAAAGAATAGAGTGCTAAGTAAGAAAGATAAGTTTTTCATCCACTGAAACAGACCAAGGGAACTACTGAAATGGAAATGCTTTGGAGTCACATCTCCTTTGGGATTTAGAGCTCAAAACACTTTCCTGTGACCAGATGGAGATGATGATTCTTTTCTATCAAAAGGAAGAAGACAAAAGGCAGCTGTGGGAATCACTGAGATACAGCACACTGAAGTTCAAACCTCCCCACATGTAAACCCCATCTCCCTCCTTCCAGAGTACACTCTCATCCCTAAGCCACAGGGTGCTTTGAGATGCAAGTTTAAGAACACACAAGTTGGAAATGATACCTTTTGCATGGAATACATGAATAATTATTACCAAGAGGGAGGAAGTGTATAACCTGGCAGCAAATGCACTTACCTGACTGAGGGAGATCTGACCTGCAATCCAACTCAAATCCAACATTCACTTGCCTAGGGAGCAAAGCCTCTGCTCCCTCATCACCAGCCACAGTAAGAGTTTTATATTCCTCACTCCATTTTCCAGTGGGAAGCATAATCAGAGCTTCAAGTGGAATAGCATCAACCAGAAGGAAATGATACGTTCAGATGTAATGTATACCCCCCTGCAGCTTGGTAGTAAAAGCACTCAGAGACAGAAAATGGGATCTCAGTCCCCTGCAGGTATACATAAAATTTGAGCCTGAGTTGTCCTTTCTTTTCCCTCACCCCTTTAGCAGCTGCTGTGTAAAATAAAACCAACAACAACCTGATGTAGATGACCTGAGGTCACCCTGGTTGACCCTGGGCTTTATGGTGAGGAAAGCAGAGAAACAGCCACATGTGGCAAGATACCAGACTCCCTGCTTGCTAAGAGAGTTTCAAATCTATCACCTAGTCTGCTTTTCATACATGTGATTTCAACAGCATTGGATTTCTGTAACGGTGGCATTTTAAATCAGAACATAATCTCACTTCTCAAGTCCAAATTTGCCACTCCAGCAATTAAAGTTACAATGAGAACCATAACAGAATTTTTGTGACAATTTGTTTTATAACTAACCAGTTCCCAGTGAAATTGCATTTCTATTATATATTAAATGTGCAGTGTTTTTAAGACCTAGGTCCATTCTTTTTCCTTTCCCTCATCTCTGAACAAATGTGACTGTGCTTGTTTTCAGCCTTTCCTGTGATTATCTTTTTACAATACAAAGTTTGAGACAAAAAATTATGTTCCCACCCAAGCTAATATGGTAATACAGCTCCACAAATCTGTTATTCTACTCCAAAATGTTCATTTCATATGTAATACTACAGATTTACATGTATTTCAAGTACAAAGCAAGTATAAAGCTACTGGGCTTCTCTGTCTGAATATCTGGGGTATTAGGATTTAGAAGTTCCTGTCCTCTGTGTTATTTTATAGTTCATTTTCCAGTGGGGGGAAAACTACTTAGTAGAAAAACATGCCATCATCTCCTCTTCTAATATCTTGCTCACTGCAGCAAAGTTTATTTTTAACACTATGCACAGACATTTGGAAAATAAATACCTTTTTCTCAATTAGCTGACACATTTCTTCAGCCTTCCTCACGCTCTTCTGCACAGGCTGTGCACTGTCCTGCCTACACCATCATCCCTGTGCCCACTGGCTCCCAGAGCCGCCCTCGTGCATGTGCAGCCTCTCCAGCAAGGCACTGCAAACTACTGCAGTGCAGTCTGAGCCACAAGGAGAGCGAGATCTAATCAATGGGCTGCAGCTGACTAAGCTAAAATAAAATGCTTGCTGAGCAGAACAGCCCACTGTCATATCCTGCAACGGGAGAGAGGATTCAGGAAAAACATAGCATCTATTTTCAAATAAATAATTAAGATCAAGCTGCTAAACCCTTGAACACTGGCAATTAATATTAGTGGAGCCACAGGGAATGTGTTTCTGAAGTCAGGGTACCACAGACTGAGCAAAAGCACAATGCCTTCTGTACTGCACGTGACAAAACAGGCAGAGCCAAGCAAGGATCAAGGAGTTCTTGTCCAAAACCTGACCTACATTAGCACAGAAGACCTTCATGACTCAGAACACCTCCATTACATAAGCATATGTTGTTCATCATCTGCATAACAATGTTTATGTTCATTTCCCCCCTCAAGTTCACATTTTCTTCTCAGCCTTAGCTCTCCATATCAAACAGATTCTGCTAGTCCAGCTCTTTGCTATAAAAATTAATGCAAGATGAAAAATTTGACTTGTGCACATTCTAAAGAAGAGAATTCTACATATTTAAAGAACCCAAAATTTTCTTAGTTCATTCCCCAGTTGTTTAGTCTTAGCACTGACTACCGATACTGCTGCATGGCAAAGGTACAACCAGGATGTCACAGTCAATAAAACTGCTTGTGTCTCTATCTGAACCACAGCAGAAGGTTGCTAGGGGAAATAACAGTTAAATCCTTAAAACAGATCACTGTATCCTGTAATATCAAATTTGTTATGAAAGGTCTTGGGACTCTCCACAAAATGGACTTTTTGGGTAGGAGGGAATAAGGGAAGGGGAGAAAATCAGGAAGAAAAAACTGGACTCATTTCTCAGAAGAGTATCCTCAGTAACTGCAAGTACTTACTAACTAGTATTTTACAGACTTTAATAAAATTCCTTTCATTCATCTTCTTGTTGTGATTGCATGTTAGAATCACAATCTTTTCAATCCTATTTCACACAAGTTTATCATTACTTCTTCTGAACACAGCTTAGATCTGCAACACCTTCTTTGAAACTGGACAGGGGGTATCCTATGCATCAGCAACTGTTACCTTATCCAGATTTGTACAAAGGCACTAAAAAGGTGGTGTAGTTTTCACCAGACCAGCCAATTCCATATGGACCATAACAATTGCATCACTGGCTCTATTCTTTTCAGGTAACCTGTCTCCAGTCCTAAAGGAGATGCTTCTGGACATCCTACAGGTAAGGCCACAGGAAGCTGGGCAGATGTATTCTGTTTCATCTGGTATGTGCAATACTAATTTTTAAAAGGTGTAATGATGGTTCAGGCCTCACACACCAAAATGAAAATTTGACACTCTCTTAAAGAACAAAATTACCAGGAAATTTAACTAGCTGGGATAGCTACCTTTCTAATCAGGAAGTCTACACAGCTTTTCTAAGGGAAAGTAGCACATCACCAACAGTTTTCTCTGCAGCATTTGTGCATATAGGCAAGGGCAAGGTAGTTCATACAGTACAGCTGAGTTTTCAAAACATCAGTCTCTCCAAAGGTCCACACTACAAGAAACTGCACTATAAAACACGTTTCTCTTTCATTTGAGTGGTATCAACTATAGCTGTCCTCTAAAGAGGCAATAAACAAGGAGTTTTGAAACCAGCCAAATTCAGAACATAATTTCCTTTTTATCAAAGTTTAACTGTGAAGCTGGTTTTTAATGTTTAACAAAAACTTTGGCATGAAAAGCATGAAAATTTTGATTTAATTTTCCCCCTTTCTTTATGGTATTTACAAGCAGTACAGAAAACTGATAACTAACAGAGCTGTAGCAGCTGTGACAGCACTTAAAGCAAAGGTGTGAGGGAGCCCAGGAACTTTGCTCAGGACACTGGGGGCTTCACTGGGCCTGCAGTAATGGTGTGATTGGCCACAGGGCCTGGTTCCCCACATGAACAAGATCAACAGAATCTTCACAGAGCCTCTGGAAGAGAAAATAAAGAACCCAGCAATGCAAGGAAAAAAGGACAGCTAGCGGTAATGCTCAAAGGAGTAACAGATGGATAGTCCCAAGAGAAGGGAAAACTAGCAGCAGAAGAGAGGCTGTTGCTCCACATGGAGATCTGCAGGTGCAGAACAGATTAAGTATCCTGGGAACTGGTGAGGAGGAACAAAACCTTGCCAGGGAGCTACCTGAGCCTCAATCAAATGTCTGTACAGGGAAGCTAAGGTGAGAGATGGTCACTGAAGATTCCTTCCTGCAGGAAACAAAAGTCCTCATCTACTGACTTAACTTGATGCTTCAAGAGCTTTGTGGCTTGTTGGGAACCTGGATATGGGATAATAAGGACAGATTGCCAAGTTTGTGTGGCCATCTGACTATTAACACTTGCAGCTCATTCATGGGAACACCAAAAGTGCCCGGTTTTCAAGCAGTGACCTTGAATATTCTAAGAGTGACTACAGACCTCGAGGCATGGAGGTCTGGGTGCTGTGCTAAGTCCTGCCAGGGAAAAGCTCAGGCAAGAGCAGATGCATTGTGGAAGTCAACACCAAGCTGTCAAAGATGTGGCTTTGGCTTCTATGACCAAAGGTTCCTGTTTGAGGAAAAATAACTGTTGGTGGAAGAAGGGACCCATTTGACACAATGGCAAGAGCATCTCTGCAAAGACTAGGCATCTCATCTTGCTAATCAGTGAGGAGGACCTAAAGCAGGTACAGCAGGAAAGGATTACTGTAACCTGAAGAGAAATAGAAGAACAGAGACTGTGAGGAGGTGCCCCAGGAGAGGATGATAGAAGCTTCCACATCTCCCTAGGGGAAGCAGCACAACAGAGGGCCCACCTCAAGTGCCTGTCCAAAACCTCCAACATGTGTGTAACAAACAGGAGCAGTTAGTGCTCTATGTGCCATTGCAAATCTGTGATCTCACTAGGATTACAGAGACTTGGTGGGACTGCTTCCATGGTTTGAGTGCTGAAATGAATGGAGAAAAGGGCTGGGAAGGCAAGGAGGTACATTTTCACAGGAATGGCTTGAATGTATGAAGCTTTCCTTGGAACAGGGGATGGGACAGTCACTACTGATGGGTAAGTGATCAGTACAGGTAGCATAATTAGTTGTAACCACCAGCTACCGACTTAAAAACAGATTAAACTTTCTTTAGAAAACTGAGGAAAGCCTTGCAATTGCAAACCACGGTACTCACACAGGGCTTGGATTACTCCTACATTTACTGCTCCTGCATCTACATATTGCAGAGACAACATGGCAGGGTGAAGCAATCCAGGAGTTTTCTTGAGAGCACTGAGCAGAACCAGAAAAACAAGCAACAGAGGCTGGTAGTCATAAGGGAAGGATAACACTGAAGAGAAACACAGTTTCCTGGGGAACTCAGTGGACAATGATCTGTCCATGAACCAGCAGGGCCCTTGTAGCCAAGAAGGCCAATGGTATCCTGGGATGCATTAAGAAGAGTACTTCCAGCAGGTCAGGGAGGTGATCCTGCCCCTTGGTGGTCTCTTCCAACCTGACCCATTCTGTGAATCTGTGTGTGATTCTTCTCTACAGCATGAGATCACTCACCCAGAGTTTGGAGGTCTCAGATTCAAAAGCTTCCTCTCCTACAGGAGTTCCTCATTTGACACCAGAATACCACAAACACCATGTATTTAGGCCACAGGCAGAATGGGAGCAGGCATATTGAAATGTCTCTCATTTAAGCTTTATAGCTGTGCACAAAGTTAAGATATATTCCCAAGAAAAGGGATGTTGGGAGACTCAGAGCCCTGCAGAAGGCCCTATTTTCTGTGACTAAGTAATTTTTTCTCTGTCTTTTGTCAGAAAGCATAAGTCTTGAGCACCAAAAGATGTTACTAAGCTTAATGAACCAGGAATACTTTGTGAAGTTATCACTGACAGTATACCCTTGAGACATTAAAAATTTCAGGTCAAACATACCTTGCTGAATACACATGACAGATCCCAACCAGAATTTGCCACCTTTTAAACAGGAGAGAGTGTGGCTTGGAGAGGCAGGGAGGAGCAGTAAGAAATCAGCAACTCCTCTGGCAGTCCTGGCAAGCTGCCTGGCTGGTCCTTGTTCAGAAACTTGTCCTTGCAAGTGTTTGAAAACAAAACACACTGAAAATACTATTTTTTTTTTCATCCACTAGCAGTCTGTCCTGTTTTTCATAATAGCCAGAGGCCCCCGGCTAGCCAGGATGCAAATGCCAGAAATGCTGCTGGTAGCCAAAGTAAGAGCCTTCAGCCAGGCCCTGAGCAGCTCCCAGCACACCACAGACACCACATGGCTACATGACCAATGCACATCTGCTCTGCCTCCAAAGGAGGAGCTATCAAAGCCCAACTTCTACAGCCCACAAAGAAATATCAAATAATGAGACTGTTGAGAACAGCTGAGCTTCCCTGACTGTCAACAGAGGGAAGAAAGGTTGCTGATATGTCCTCACACACCTTCTGGTCTCAACCATCTTCCATTTTTATAGAGCAATGTAAGTTCCTGCAGACTGTTGCCCAGCAGACTTTGTAACATGTGGCAATGGGCAAGCTGTAGAGGGGTGAGACCATTCCTGTGAAAGCAAATCTGTGCCACAACAGCTCTTCTCCAAGGACTAGCATTTGTGCTAATATTAGCATCCCACACAAGGGAGATCAGTTCTGTTTTCCTAGAAGCACAAGATAAATTCAGATTCAGAATAAATCTGGATTTAGTTATGTCAAGTGGGCCATAACTTCACAAATGCTGATCTATCAAGCTGAACTGTCAAGTAGCCATCCTCTGTAGAAACACAGAGATCAAATCCATAACACTCATCAAAGGCTCAGGAGAGTAACAGCTCCCTACATAAAAGCTGCTGGGACAGCCCTTGAAATGAACCCACTTCAAAGTTTTAATCAGTCTCTAGAAAGTAATAGGCAAGAGGTAAGTTAAAAAAAACCCCAAAACCCAACAAATCCACAGCATCCTAAAGACCTGGCTCATTATCTGTGTAACTAGAAAGTCATTCAGAGTTTTTTTGAAAAGGTGATAAGATTGTAACTCTGAATTTCAGAGGATATGAAAACACCTGATATTTTTATGGTATTATTCATAAAGTACGACAGTGCTTCTGAAACTGTAGGAAACTGCAGAGAACCTATGTGAGCAGAAAACTTCTGTTAAAAAATTGAATATGACTGAAAGCAAAATCCAGACATGCTTCCAAAAAAAGGGAGTGAGCCTCTTCCCCTACCAATCTTGTGTATTGTACCTCAGAATCAAACCACAGAAATACTAGGCTCAGGATTTTTCAGATAAATCTGAAAAATGTATTCTCCATAGATAAATGAATGGAAAGAGAATGGAGAAAAAAGAATTTACCTTACTGGGTTGACATAATCTCTTCAGTGAAACAAGTGATAAAGTTCTTATTAAAAAAATCCAAATGCAAAAACATCACTAAATGTTTCATTTCTCTTGCCTTCATACCACCCTTCACCTCCATCTCCTTCCTAATCCTCAGTGCATTACTTGGGCAGCAATCACTGTGCTTCTCCAGACAAATGCCTTGGTGTGATAAGTGGGACTCAAAGTGGTATCAGGCAGCAGGAACACAAAAGGATCAAAGAGCCCAGTGATTACTGCATAATGTTAAAAGGCACTGAAGTGAATATTTATGTGGTTTTTTGCCGTATAATTTCTGTCAAAAAGCCTGACCCCCTGAAGTGTGGTGTGGGAGAATAGGTACATTAGGTGTATGAGACAACACCCTGTATGATCCTCCTATATCCCAAATGAATGGAGACTTTTCACCATTTTCAGGAAAGCACACTCCCACCCCTCTGTATCTTTTCAGGAACAGATCATATGTCATTCATCCTTCTATGAAACCCATCTGTGGCAAGCAAGCAATGAACCACCAGACTGAGCAGAATGAAGACAAACCTTTTCAGAGTCCTGCACTCTGAAAATCAAATGCTATTTTCAAGCTGTAATGGACTTGAATTCTGGCTGCAAAAAGAGGAAAGGAATAGGACTATATTTTGTGAAGGGCAATATGGGGAAGGGTTATCCCCAAACTAATAACCATTGACAAGGAAGTCCAATAGTATGTAATATGTGTCTTTCTAAGAATAAGAGGCAGGCACAACCTTTGGAGCTGCTCCCAACTACAGGGAAAAAGAAAACTGAAAAGACTTATGAAAGAATTAAAAAGAAATAAAAACTCCCCAGCGATATTTATTTGTCTGCTAAAGACACAAAATCTGCTCACTGGCCTTTGCTTTCTTCCCACTCCCCAAACATACCCTGCACTACAGAGTCTCTGTATTAGCTAGCAGATTATCAACATTTTGCAGAACAACAATTATCTTGCAGGTGGAAAAACTGTGCAGATCTGAAGCTGCAAGCCTAGGACGATAAACAGAGATATTGTATGAGCACTCTCTGCTTGCAATGTATTCTGAAATACATCTAGGAATTCTCTCACAGATCCTAGAATATCTGAAACTCTACACATCCTTATGAGTGACCCTGGATAACACCATGCTGGTAAAAGAACTGAAGATAAAATCCATATTACATGGCACAAGTCATGCCCCCTGCCCTTACCTCCCCTCCAGGCAGGCACACTGAAATATTCCTGCTAGGAAATCTGGATAGGGACAGTAGACATAAAACCAAAGTCAGGAAGGGTGAGAACAGCATTACAGACTGCAGCTCACAGTAATCTTAGCCCCAGAGATCAGGTCAGCTTTTAACTTCTAGCACACTTTTTCATCAAAAGCTTTAAGAATACATCAACCTGTTTCCCCAGACCACAGAGAACTGAACTGGACCAGTCCTCTGGGGCTACAGAGGTTACATGGCCAGCACTGGGCTCACCCTCTTCGTTAGTCCATATTGTACTCAAGTAAGTAAGTAAGCCTGTGGAAAACACCATAATCCTAAAGGAAATAAAAGAAAAAAAAAAAGCCACACATCTTTTAAGACAAGATTACCATCCCTTCTTAGATCCTCAACTCAGCTGAAGTCATTTGCTGCTTCTCACCTTGCAGAAAATGCAGTGCAATATAACGACCACACACAACAACAACAAAACAAAGAGAACCACAAAACCTTTCCATTCCTAATCAGTTGCAGAAATTGGAAAAATACTGCTTGAAATGTACTTACTGGTCGAACTTCCCCAGTAGTGTTGGTGTACTGGCGGGCCAGACCAAAGTCTAACATGTAGCACTTCCTGTATGTTGAAGGTAACCGGCCCATGGCAAAGTTGGACTGGACAAAGAAGGAAAGAAAAGTCAAATTGATACCAGCAGCTTGGGTAAGCATGGCCATTTGTTAGCAAAATTTCATCATGTAGCTCCACATGCCTCCGGTGAAAACAAGTCAAAGAGATCAATTTTAAGATGCACCTTAAACATCATGTTTAGAGAATCACTGCCTTGATAAAAAGTTCGCTTTGCAGATGAGAGACTGAGGAGTCTCAAAATTGCTAAAATTCACATTAGCTTAGCTAAATTTCTGCTGCTTTGTGAAAGAGCTACATTTAACACCACTAGTTCTGCAGTGAGAACTCCATGACTTGCATAACAGGCTGGAGTTCTTGTAGGCAAATACTTCTGTTCATGGTTCAGCTGCTAGCATTAATTACTGTAGCCTAACTCCCAGGATCTCCATTTACTGCATTGCATTGCACAGATCTATCTGAACATTGAGGCATACAGAAAACACCAGGCTAGGCTTGGTTCTTATTAAATAAACCAATAACAAGCAAACGTAACAGCTCCTTTTTTTAACCTCAGTCCTAAGTTCCATCCTTTACCATAATGGGTGGCTGCTAAAGGATTTGTAGCCAGTCACATCAGTGACTGGTTTTCAGCTGAATCCAGACAGCCAAAAGCAGCTGATTTTAAAAGCAGCAAATGAGTTTGCTAGAAGGAAGTTGGTCACAGATATGGCACAGCAACAAGTGTTCAGGTCAAGTAGTAAAGAGCTGTAGGAAGATAGACTGGCTTCTACAGTGAGACTTGGAATTACTGTGCTTTGCCTAGGCAGATGACCAACAATATGACTATGGTTCTGACACTGGAAACTGTGCTCCAATTCTTTTGGCAATCACTCACACAGGATTAAGAGCATGATTTAGCTAAGTCAAACACATGAATTAAGATTTATTCAAGTGATGTGTCACAGAACAAGACTTCCTTTCTGAACAACTTTTACAGTGATAATTGGCTGGACTCCAAAGGTGCTTTCAGAACTAGACTGCATCATCATGGGATCTTGACTGGTGCAGGTATGACTGACAGCTACCAAACCCACCACAGAGCAGCCTCTGCCAATAAAAGCTGGTTTGCTATGCACTTAAAGGAAGGACAACAAGATATTATTATTCTGCACCTAGAGAAAATACCAAACATGTCAGACAGTGGGAGTGTGCAAGGAAGCCTAAATGTATCTGCTGA